CAATGAGGCACATAACGGGAACTATAAAGCCCACACCAAACCCAATGGCTTCCAGTTTTAAGCAACATCGCTCCACAAGCAACCAGACGACTAGCCGCACTCAACACTCTAGTTCAAAAATTCCAACAAAATACAGAACTACCCATAAATACAGACATCGCTGAACTACACCAAAGGCAGTTAAGACTAAAATCCAGACATCCACCTACTAGAACTGCTACAAAATTGGCTGTTTTCACTACCGAAGAGCACTGGATGGGCGAATGGAATCCAGACATCAGAAATTCCAATCTGATAGAAAACCCCTTAATCAAACCAGGCAGCTTTTCTCTTCCCCGTCGTGAATGGTGCAACCTAAATAGAATACGAGTTGGTCATGGAATTTGTAACAAATCGCTGAATCAATGGGGTATAAATGCCAGCCCGGAATATGACAAATGCAGCGCTGCTGAACAAACAATTAACCACATTGTCTTCGAGTGTCCAGCCACCAAGTTCTTTGGCAGCCTTCAAGAAATCCACCCACTTACTCCCAAGGCGAAAAATTGGCTTCGAGGATGTAACCTTCGACTTTAATTTAATAATTTTAATTTTGTATGTTCTGTGTCAATGTTTACTTATTTACTTTTTTATTTATTATTGATATTGTCACTTTTTTCTTCCTTTTCTATATGTAAAAACTGCAATGTGTAAAGTTCATACGAATATATATATATATATATATATATATATATATATATATATATATATATATATATATATATATATATATGATACCGCCTAGAGATGCTCTGTTTAGTAATCATAATTAAATAATAACGTAATATACTTGCATGATTATTTGCTACAAAACTCATTTAACAAAATCAATAACAGAATTAACAGAATGACCGCTTATTCAAATTCACTTTTATAAAATGTCAAAATTATTCGTTTAATTGTAAACTGTAACGATATGTGTCGTGGTTCCGTCAGATCTTCATACACACGCACTCACATTACAAGTTCCTCTTCCATCGATGAGCACTAGAGGAGATGGTAGGTTAAGTACCTTATAAAACAGAAGCCGCCGCACGAGAGAGTTCGAGTTACATCAAACTCCACTGGCCCTAGGTATTACCCGAAGGCCAACCGTTTCTGTTAGAGTATTGATCTAGTGGTAGTAGTGTTGCCCAAAATCGGTCTTGGTCTTGCATTATTGGTCTTGTTCTTGCGTTTTTGCAAGACCAAGACCAAGACCGCCTAATTTTAGCAAGACCAAGACCAAGACTGACCGTGCAAGACTTAAGCAAGAACAAGACTAAGCCTGCGAGACTGCGAGTGTCGTTTTAACGAATATAGTAGTTCGGGTATATGCTTAAAGACTCTATAAGACGCACAAAAATATGTAATAAAAATTTGAAAAACTGGACTTATGCGCATTACGAACAATACCATAAACATACATATCGAATCAAAATATTCATTAAAAAACACATTTGACACGTGCTCAGAGGTCATAATTACAATGTAAAAATAAAATATTTTGTACATTCTTTTCCAGCAGACGACTTCTTCGCTCTGGAATTAATTGTCCAGATTTTGATAAAAGATGAAAAATTTATTATTACGCTTATATTAAAATTTTATTTAAATATTTACATATTCATTTAAATAAATAAAATTGCACCAAACTAGAAGCTTTATCTTTAATGGTAACATACGAAAGTATACTATTTAAAACTGTGAATTTTCTGTCTTGTCAGTTCGACAATTGATTAAAGAAATTTTTAAATTCCTTTTATAACAGATAGTGTACCGAAAAGATAACATAATATGTTTTGCGATTACTCGTATGTTGGTGTCATCAATGCCGACAAAAAATTACATTATTAAATAACGAAACCTATTGTTTATTATATAAAATATTGGATCTGTTGCTTGATAGTCAAAATTCTGGTCAGCAAAATATTGTATGTCTTTTTAACAAAGGAGTTTGATATTTCAACTTTAAACGACTGCGGCTGGTTGTTATTATTTAGGCTGTTGGTATAATATTTTAAAGCAAAATATCACAATTGTTTTAAAGCAAAATACCACAATTGTTCTAAAGCAAAATATCACAATGTTTTTTTTCGGTGTATTTACCATTTTGGAGGGATAGACGGTTATTGCAAAATGACCAACTTATATTTTTACAATTTTGCAAAAACCGTCTAAGCCGCTTTAAGTTATATTTGTAATAAACTGTTTTTACTTATTTTGCTTTTGTACGTTTTTTAAAGAAGCCTGTAATTATTAAAATATAAAAATGTGAAAATAAAGCCTTATTTTCTATAAGTCAATTTTTTAAAGTAGGTAGATACATTATGCTCATTGACTCTGAACCATATATACTTGGCTTATTATTCGGTACTTAGGGTATTAGATAGTACAGTGGAGCACGCAGAATTTTCCTGTGAGGAGGAAATTTTTTTATGCTACCTCCATTTCGAGTCCTTAAAATTTGTGAGGAACAGTGTTGGAATAGTGCCCTGTGCACCCCCCAAAACACCCCTGGGTGCGCCACTGAGATAGTAACGAACATAAAGTAACTAGTAGTAGTTACTTTTTCGACATCACTAAACTTCATTCCCAATTGAGCTTTTCTTTGAGTCTAATGTAATAATTATTGTTTTCCATCTAATCCTTGTTGTTCTCGGAGTGACAAGTTTACAATTTTGACATAATAGATAAATATTCAAATAGTTCTTGTCGGAATAGTGAAGTTGGAGTTGTAGATCTAAAAGACGTAAAAGCAAATTTGCATGCATCCCAAATTGCTTTGTGTAAATTGTGCCTGCATAGAAAGGTTGAAATGAAAATGAAAAACAGAAACATGTTAGGATTAAGGAAGCATCTAATATATTTTCACAAAAAGGAATTACAAATATTTCTTCCTGAAAATCCAAAATTCTATGGATATATCACAAGCTTTTTAATAACCGCTGGAAAAAGTGGACATGTTAAAAAATATACTTATTACCTTATTACCAATCACATATATTATGTACCTACTACTTTATTTGGGCAAATTAATGTATTTATTAAGTAGGCATCTCATTTAAAATAATTCTTTTGATTATTATTGCTTTTTTACCTATTCCTTATTTTTCAAGTTAGTATTTTATATAAAAGTAGAGCTAAGATTGTTAACAACATTTATTTTGCTTTAATAAGTGGATTATAGTTTGTTATCTGATCACCTAAAGAATCTGTGTCCTTGATACATGTGAATTTTTTGCTACATACCAATCTTTTTTAAGATTGTCATTTCATATATATTGGGGGGTCCATCAATTCCTTTCTAGAAAGATAATTTTCTTTACAATACAGTTTATGTCATTAATTTGGGTTTTCTGTATTTTAACCATGTTTTAGCACATGTAAGCTTATGCAAACGCAAACGTTTATTAAGAAGCAGATTGACTTCCGTAGGGAATAGTAGATAGCTGAGTCAGTTAGAGCATAGGCACGGATCGCTTAGGTCGTAGCTTCAAACCCCACCGGATGTCAGTTGTTTAGACATTTATTAATTTGGTTGATCTTTATCATGGCTGTGGCTTTCAAGCTTAAAATGTACTTACTCTGTTACGTTGTTCTAAGAAGATCCAAAGTAAAATTGAATAAATAGCAATAGGCTAATGGGTAACTGCAAGACTTGCAAGACTCTTGCTGCAAGGCCAAGACCAAGACCAAGACTAGGAGTGCAATACGAAGACTAAAACCAAGACCAGGTATATTGGTGCAAGACCAAGACCAAGACTGTCTAAGTCTCGCCTTGTTCTTGCATTTGGGCAGCACTAAGTGGCAGTTCCATATCCGGTTTTAAAGTATTGATCTGAGAGGACCTATTCTTTCCCGTAGATAAGTGTTGATTAGTTACTTTCCGCTACTCACCGGACCGTTCCCTCTCTACTGCTCTGCTAGATATTTTCGCAGGTAGAAAACAGACTGCTTGAATGAATCATAATGGAGAAATAAACATATCGGGAAAGAAATAAAAGACAGAATTTACAAAACAGTCATCAGACCAACAGTGACATACGCGGCAGAAACACGACCTGACACAGACAGGAAAAAAGGATGTTAGAAACAAGAGAAATGAAAACACTTAAATAAATTGATGGTAAGACACTATGGGACAGAGCTAGAAGTACAGATATACGACGTAGATGCAAGGTGAACATCAAGAACTAGGAAAGAAATAAACGAGTAGAATAGAACGATCATATTAGCCAAATGACAACAAATAGAGTAGTAAAGTCGGCAAGAGACGGTTCTCCAATAGAAAGACGATCAGTAGGAAGGCAACGAAAACGATGGAACAGCAACTTAATAGAGGTACATTGAAAAACAGACAGAGTCATGTCTACATAAAAGGAAAAAGAAGAGAAGAAGGTTTTTTCAGTGGCATCTTAATATAATTTACTATTTTTACTGGGAATTAACCACAATAAAATTCGAAATAGGAATAAAAAAATTAAGAAAAACACAAAAAAAGGATCTTAAAACTTGCTGGAAATAGAGTAATTATAGAGACAAAACAGATATTTGTCCTTATATTAATTTAATCATTAGCTTCTTTCGAAACTGTGATTATAACATTGGTCGCCACATTAATTATTCTACTTCCATCTCCCCCACGTGTTAATAATAATTACCGCAAGACGATCATACTCGTTATGATAAATATGTATTTAGGTACTGGTAGTACAAAATTATTCATTGACGTCAGAGCTTAGAAATTGGGTTAGGTCACGAACCTTTGTCTTACCGGTACAAAGATCGCTTAGAACTTGATACTAAGTTCAATTACGGAGTAGCAACCACCAAGACTAATCATTCATTTACGTTTAAGTTAATCTATTCAATCATAACATTAATCATATATAATTATCAGTTACCAACCATTTAAAAAGAAATCTGCAATTATGTTATAACTTATAAACACTAAATAATTGTTTTACATTTTAAAATACCTTAGTTGTCACGTCCCTCTTTGGTTCCGGTACATCAGAATCCCATTCGGAACTCAAATCATCGCTGGACGGATCTCCGTAATCTATACAAATGGGTACTTCTAATAAACTTTTCTGATACTGCTCGTAACCTGTAGTGGATCCCCTTCTAGACCCCAATATGGGGCTAGAAGGGCTGTTGCTTCTCCTAAAATTGCTGCCTCTTCGACCCAGCCGCGGGGAACAGTCAGAAGCTGGGGATGGCGTCCTCGAAGGGGATTGGTTGGGATACAGAGTATTTTCTGAAAACGTTTTAGTCGTAATTGCAAAAATATATTTTGGTTTTTTTTTCTAACATGCATCGGGACGTACGGCGCTTGATCATATTCTGTCACAAGTTTGTCCTTCGGTCAATTATTACATATTTGACTCAATGGCTCTCATTAGCTTGAGATAGACGGAAATACAAACTCATATACAGGAAGGTTTGGCGTCATTTACGTGTTTTAATTATGAATGTGAAAAAAGTAAAGAATATAGAAATATTTTCTTGCTTACATAATATTCAGGTTTTGATTATATAATGTGTTTTAAATCTATGTATAATACTAATACTCTTATGCTTATAATTCCAAAACTGTTGCTGAATGAAGGAAAGACGTTGCCAGAAAGAAAGTCTATTTTCTGATACTTTGGTAATATCAGATTCAGGGTAAGCTGTTAGACTACTTCCAATTAGGAAGTGTCCGGGAGTTAAACACCGAAGATCAGAGGGATTAATAGATAAGAGGCATAAAGGTCTTGAATTCAAAATAACTTTTATTTGTACTAATACAGTAGCTAGCTCTTCAAGGGTAAATCCAGTACTATTCACAAATCGATAGAGATCATATTTTGTCGATTTTACTGCAGCTTATAGCGTATAGCAACCAACAAAATCATCATAGCCAGAATGATCGCCAACGTTCGGAACGGACAGGCACCCTAAGAAGAACTGCAGCTTCCCGTAGTCCACCCAAATGGGGACTATAGGGGAAATAAAAGTCCATTTTATTTTTGTTTTAGAATCAAAATTCTCAATGGGAAATAAGTTGTCTTTGTTTTGAAATAAATCATACCTACAGTTCTTTTATTTGGTTGTAAGCACCCAGAACATTTGTAGCACTGTCACTAAAAATATTTGAAGGATTTCCTCTTCTTGAGATAAATCGCTTAAGGGTAAAGAAAAATGCTTCTGAGGATAAAGAAGAAACTAATTCTATGTAAACAGCTTTAGTAGCCATACTGACAAAGAACGTAAGTCTTAAAAATAGGAGCTTTACGAAGTTTGGAAGTTTTAATTGGAATTGGACCGTCAAAATCCACACCAACATTATTAAGAGTTCTACAATGGGACACTTTTACTCTTGGCAAATATGCCATTACTTGTTGAGCAATTTGAGCTTAAAATCTGTAACAAAGGATAGAGCTTCAAACTATACTTTTAATTTCTCGAAGTCAGTAATATCAAGTAATATCTGCGTTTTGTAATCTACCGTCTACACATAATTCTCTTTGGATCAGCAATTTCTTGTGAAAAAGATTAAGCTTGGATAATTTTTATTATAAAAACAAAGGCTTGATCCAATTCCGTAATTAAAAGGGAACCAGATGGTTTGATTGATGAGGTTCTAATATTCTAAATGCCTAAATTCTAAATCTTTGAAGATATGCAAAAGAATGAAGTTTTCTTGAAAATTTAGAAAATTTTTCAAATACTTTTTGCCAGAATACGTCTTGCATTGTATTCTGAGAATGCGTACTCACAGGGGTTGATTTTCTTTCTTCTATAATTTAAGAAGGTTAAGTTTCATGATTATGTTTTAATGAATTAGAGTTGGAGAGAAAAGACCATAATTTGGACTTTATGAGTTGGTCTGCTAACATTCCACGGGACGGAATTAAAAACAAATTTTGTTCAACGAGAAGCGTGAGATCTGATCCAACACAAAGCAATTTCTGAAAACCACAAGTTTATAGATTCAAGCGACAGCTGGTTTTCAAAAATTGCACAGAGTTTATTTATTAATTGAGCAAGAAGGACCATAGCGCAGAGTTCAAGACGAGATAGAGATAAAGTTTAAATTGGAGTTACTCTAGATTTAAAACTGAGTAAAATAGAGGAGACAGAGTAGTCACTATGTACGGTTCTTAGATAAACACAGGCAGCATATGCTTTGATACTTCTGTCAGCGAAACAATGTATTTAAACATACTTAACAGATTTGTCAAAAAATGTACACCTCGGGATTTTTAATAACTTTAGTTTGAAAAAAAATCTAATAAATTTATTCCAATCGTGAATAAACCAAGTATTTAATGGTTCATCCCAATTTACCTCTATCAAACATAATTGTTTCATTATCAATTTCCCTATTACAACTAATGAGCTAATTGTACCAAGAGGATCGTACATGCTTGCAAGAATGGAAATGAGCTATTGGTCTTGTGATAGATAAGCCTAAGATCTTGTTTGGGGAATCGGTTAGAGAAAAATTGTAAGGTTGTTTAGATCAAGTTTCTCTGCAGAAGTTTAAAAATCAAGAGGAATTAGAGTGCCATTTGTGTATCTGAAATCCAGCGTTGCCAAGTAGCTTGGTGAGTTGGTGATATGATGATTCCAAATCTTCAAGGGAGTTAACACTGGACAATATGTCATACATATACGTATGATTTAATATGTTTTTCACCATAGGGTAGTTTTTACCACCTCTAATAGCAATTTCCTTGAGTGCGAGTAGCTTCGTAGGGAGCCCAAATAGTGGCATAGGTAATCGCCAAAAGCTCTATGCAACTAAGGGACTTGTCGGGAGAGTCTCGCCTCAGAATATTTTGTAAAAATGTTTGCGCAGGATTTATCAGAATCTGCCTATACATTTTCTGTATTTCTGCAGTAAAAACATATTTGTACTGCCGAAATCTAACCGGAATATCAAACAGTTTAGTTTTTAAGGATTATGTCATTGTGGGAGTAACCAGTAGTAGTTTTACTAGAAGCGTCAAAAACTACTCTACTAAAATAAATATTTATGCAATAAAAATAGTAATGTAGTAAAAAGTAAGTATATAGCATAAGAGTATCTTTCGAGTACATCAAATAACTTTTAGAATATTTATTATAAATGCGTCTAAAATTCGTCAATAACCTTAGTACATTTGAACTTCAGATAGCTTTTTACTGCGCAATTTTGATTGCATTTTTATTACACGCTGTATAAAAACAGATGTATTTAATAAATAAATTATTGTTACATCAAATTGAACTGAAGTTGATTTTTAATTTATATTATTATTACACTATTTACTTAAATAATTATCATTAAATGACAAAAATCAGGTTAAAAATTATTATAAGAGCAATGCGTAGTAATTAAATTTTTCTAATAAAAATAGTCTCGAACAGAAATCGAAAATACCAGCTGTTTTTCATTTAACACGTTCGCTGCCGACTATATTTTCTAAATCAATGCCTCCGTGACACAATAAATTTACTGTTTGTATTTTGAGAACGATTTTCGAAGTGGAAATTGAAACGTCAATAAACGTATTTTTATCTTTAATTGTGGCTTATTTCCAGTTAAATAGTAATTAATTTTTAATGCCACAAGAAAATAGCTTCAGAACAATATAAACGAAGGAAGATTTACAAAAACTGCTACAAAAAAAAAAAAAAAAAAAAAAAAAAAATAGTGAGCAACACGGCCGTGAATTTGCTATGAACAAAACTAAAAAGGTAGACACCTTTTGCAAAAGCTGTGACAAGGAACCTTTTCTGTGTATAGGTTGTTTTAACGAATTACATAGAACTCAAATAACTTTTTTTATTGGTTGTTTTACATTATTTGATTTTTCTGTTGTGGAAAAACATGTTTGTTTCAATAAATATTATCACAAAGTTGTAAATAACGTTTTTGACTTATATGGGACCACATTTGTGATATTCCATGAATCGCCCAAATTATGTATACGAGCTTGTAGGCCTCTTTGGTCCATTCTCATCTTCTTCATGTGCCTTGTCCGTTCCGAACGTTGGCAATCAACATGGCTATTCTGACTTTGTTTACGGCAGCTCTGAATAGTTCAGCAGATGACAATCCGAACCATTGCTGCAAGTTTTGGAGCCACGAGTGTCTTCTCCTCCCTGGACCCCTTCTGCTGTCTATTTTCCCTTGAACGATCAGCTGTAGTACTCTATATTTATTATGTCTCATAACGTGACCCAAGTATTCCAACTTTCTTTTCTTTATACTTAATCCTACCTCTCTCTCTTTACCTATCCGGCGTAATACCTCTTCGTTGGTCACGTGCTCAGTCCAGGATATACGTAATATACGTCGGTAAGCCCACATTTCGAAGGCCTATACTTTTTTCATCAATGTTGCGGTCATTGTCTGCGCCTCAATTCCATATAACAAAACCGGGAATACATAACATATCAGAAGTCGAATTTTGAGAGGTAGGGTGAGGCTTTTAGAGGTGAAAATTTGCTTCATGCTAGTGAACGATGCTCTTGCCTTTTCTAATCTTATGCGTATTTCCTTCGCTTGATCCCAATTTGAGTTAACTGTTGTTCCCTAGTAGATGTACGAATCCACGTGTTCAATCCTTTCATTGTCTAATATCACTTGCTGTGGTGGTTGTTGGGTTTTCCTTAGTAACATCCATTTGGTTTTTGTGATATTTAGTCTGAGTCCGTATTGTGCACTTGTTTTTTGTATCTTACTCATTAGGCAACTCAGTTCCTCCATGCTACTTGCTAGAATCACAGTGGTATCAGCATACCTTATGTTATTAATTATTTCTCCATTTATCTTTATGCGTTCTGTGCTTTCCTCCAGCGCTGTCTTAAATACTTCTTCTAAGTATATATGAAAGAGAATTGGAGACAAGATACAGCCCTGTCGTACCCCTTTCTTGATCTCAATTTTATTGGTCAATGTAGATCCTACTTTCACTTTAGCTGTTTGACCCCAATAGAGACTTGCCATTGTTCAAATGTCTCTGTAGTCGACTCCGATCTTATGGAGAACTTCAATTATCTTTTCGTGCTTTACGTTATCGAATGCTTTTGCTTAGTCTATAAAGCATATGTACACGTCTTTGTTCATATCTCTGCAGCGCTGGATGAGTACCTGTAGACTAAAAAGTGCTTCTCTTGTCCCAAGAGAATTCCGAAACCCAAACTGCGAATCTCCAATGTTATCGTCGCATGGTTATTTAATACTATTCTCATGGTTATTTAATACTAAATAAACACCAACGG